CATAAACTAAAAACAGATTTGTCTGACTTCCTGCTTTCCCAATTTTTCTCGAAATGCGGTCATTATCTTTCACTGAGGTTGGCTCAACTAGACAATTGATATGTATAGACTTCTAAGCCTAGTTTCAGATTACATGCACTTGGAAAGTTTAACTAGAAGTAACTTAATATTGATTAATCTGTTCTGTGCTACTGTTGCTACAAGAATATTCAATTGACTCAGTTTTCCTTCTCTTAGGATTTTGCTGACAACAGTAGAGCTTAAATGCTTTGCTCAGCAACAACAAATTTTTCCAGCCATAGCTATATAAGATATATTGATATTTCTGAATTCTCCTTTAAAGAGTAAGTCTGTAGAAAATTGAGCTACACAAACACTATAACAGAGCTAAGACTTCAAATATAAATACATATATATATGTATATGTATATAAAATGAGACTGGTATTTGATATTTCACTTGCCACAGAATTATAGAACTTTAGAAGTCAAAGTGTCACCATAAATTAGCTCAAACTCAAAACAATCCCAGAGAATTTACAAAGCACTGGGGCTGGAATACAGGTCTTACACACGTAAATGGTGTCCACCTAGGAGGTTGAGAGAAATGTCTGAATGTATGAAAATTCAGGACAAATTTAAGTTCTTTTTTTTTTTTTAGTACTTATAAAATGCCTTCCATGAGTCAGATGTTGTTTCAGGCACTGGAAGCCCAGTGGTGAAGAAAATAGATAAAGTCCCTGCCCTTGTGCAGCTTTGGAAGAGAAAACAACGCGAAAGCAGAGAATAAATAAATAAAAATATGTTTCAGGTTTTGATAAGTACAATGATGAAGAAGAGGGCTGGAGACTGAGGTGTATACGTGTGTGTGTGGAATACGTTACGGAAGACCCACCCAGAGGATGTGACATGTACCTGAGACCTCTGTGAAAAAATAATATTTGAGATTCGAATAATAACAACAAGCACGCTATGTGAAAATCTGGTATTAGAGTGTTTCAGAAAATGCAAAGGCCCTGAGGTCTGTAAAAGTTTGGAAAG